ATCCTGCTGGGAATCCTGGCCTCGCAGCAGAACGGCCCACAAACCGCGTGGGGGACCTGCCTCGCCGCGAAAGGCGGGATCCTGAGTAGTCTCTTGGATGAAACACGCCGGGGAAACCCCGAACCGCTCGCTGAGCGCTCGCACCTGCCGGACGTTGATCTGCCGCCTTCCGCGAAGGATCTCCGAGACGACTCCCTGACTGCCGACCTCCGGCAGATCGGATGGTTCAACCCATGTTCATCCATCAAGAGCCGCAGGACAGCAACAGGACTGCTCGGGAGCTCCTTGACGTGTTCCCGCTCGTATGCATCAACCAGGGTACCCAGCGTCTCCATCATAGAGGCCAACGGATGCGAATCATGCTCCCCTACTTCGTCGACCACGACGTCGAGAAGGGCGCTGATCCGCAGGTATTCGGCTTCGGTGTGGGGGACGGACAAGATCTCGCTGATCTGTGTCCATGCCTCGGACAGTCGTCTCACCACTCTGACAACTCATCCGCGCTTATCTCCTCCAACGTGCTCCTCGGTCATACTGAGCGTGCGTGAGCCATGGACATCTCGTGACGCCGTCTCGGAATCAATACCTCCTGAACGGCGCGGTCAGCCTCTCCCACGCACGTTCGTCCGCTCGCAGCCTGTCATCCCAGGCGTCCCACGGTGCGCCGTCCGCGCCGTCCACCCAACGTCGCAGGGCCGGACCGCCGGCGATCACGTCGATCGGCAGGCGATCGAGCTCGTACTCGTACGGCGGGTCTCGCCACAGCGGCAGGTCGGGATGCAGCTCCCGGACGATCCTGAGGATGGCGGCGATCAGCCGATACGGGCGGCACCGGACCGGGTCGTAGACGGGATCGGCGGTCACCAGCTCGAAGCCGGGACATTGCTTCCCGACATGCTTGTGGAACGTGGGCTCGAAGGAGACATCGCGCAGCACCAGACCGGCCAGCAGCTCCGGGCAGCGATCCTCGAGGCGCCGCCTCACCGCGGTCCAATCCACCCGTGGGTGTCCCACCAGCGACAGCGGACGAGTGGTGCCGCGGCCCTCGCTTAGCGTCGTGCCCTCCAGCAGCACGGTGCCTGGATAGGCGCGCGCCGTTGTCACCGCCGGCATATTGGGGCTCGGCTGCAGCCAGACGCGATCCGCCGGCCACGGCGAGAGCGGATCCCAGCCGAGCATCGGTACCACGTCCAGCCGCACGCCCAGATCGGCACACCGGCGATACCAGCTCGCGCACTCGCCCAGTGTCATGCCGTGCTGCATGGGCATGGGCGCCAGGCCGACGAAGCTCTCCTGGCCGGGCTGCAAGGCCAGCCCCTCGACGCAGCGGCCCGCCGGGTTGGGCCGGTCCAGCACCCACAGCTCGCGGTCGGCGCGTCCGGCCAGGTCTTCGAGCAGGTAGCCCAGGGTGGTCAGAAAGGTGTAGACGCGAACGCCGACATCCTGAAGATCGAACAGCAGCACGTCGAACCGGTCGATCCACTCCGTGACGCAGGCGCCGCGTATCGCCGTAGAGGCTGAGAATCGGTACTCGGAGCGTGGATGATACGCGTCGGCGCTCTCCACCATGTCGTCCTGCTTCTCGCCGGCAAAGCCATGCTGAGGCGACAGCAACGCGGTGAGGCGCACGTCCGGGAGCGCGCCGATCAGCTCCCAGACCGGTTGCATTCGGGCGTCGACGCTGGCCGGGTGCGCCAGGAGCGCCACGCGCCGCCCGCGCAATCGCTCCCGAAACGCGGCGCCCTCGGGACGATGCAGCAGCACGTCGGCGCCGAACCAGACCGCCGGCTTCACCGAATAGCTCCCGCCGACAGCCCTCTGACGATGTGCCGCTGAAACAGGATGACCATCACCACCGGCGGGACGATGGCCAGGATGGTCGCCGCCGACATCAGGTCCCAGTGCACGTAGTACTGCCCGACGAATTCCGTGATCGTGACGGTGAGGGGCTTGGAACGCAGCGTATACGCCATGATCAGCGGCACCAGAAAGAAGTTCCAGGAGTGCAGGAACGAGATGATGGAGACCGCGACGACGCCGGGCCTGACCATGTGGATCGTGACCCGATACAGCGCCTGCAGGCGCGTGCAGCCGTCGACGCGGGCCGCGTCCTCGATCTCCGCGGGCACGGCCCGGAAGTAGCCGGTCATGAACCACATCTCGAACGGGATCCGGTACGTGAACAGCAGGATGACGAGCCCGAGCCGGGTATCGAGCAGCCGCAGCGACGACATCATCGGAAACAGGCCGATGATGATCGGCCAGCCCGGCAGCGCGATCAGCGCCAGCACGAAGTAGAACAGGGCGCGGCGGCCCGGAAACTCGATCCGGCCGAACACATAGCCCAGCAGCGGCGCCAGCGCCATCACCAGCAGCGTCGTCGACGTGCTGATGATCAGCGAGTTGACAAGACCCGCTCGAGATGAGCTCGGCCGCCGCCTGCCCGGCGGCGCCGCGGAACCCCTCCCCCTCGAACAGCACCGTCCGATACGGCGCCAGGGTCGGTGCCGCGGGATCCAGTGCGGCGGCACCGAGTACAGCTCCGCGCGAACCGAGATCGAGGAGATGAAGATCCAGACGATCGGTCCCAGGCTCCAGGCCGCCATCAACGCCACCAGCGTCCAGAGCAGGCCACGCGACAGCGCACGGCGGACGGGCGGGGCGCCGGCGATCGACAGCGAGGCGGCCACGGCGTCCCCTACACGTCCCGATCGCGGAGCGCCAGCCGCATGTAGACGATGGACATCGCGAACAGCACCAGGCCGGAGAGATACGCCATCGCCGCCCCCCGTCCGAAGCGGCCCCGCACGAACGTCGTCTCGTAGTTGTAGATCATCGGCGTGCGCGTGATCTCCTGCGCGCCGGTGAGCGCATAGATCTCGTCGAACACGTTGAATGCGGTGATGCCCGGTGAGGACCAGGGCTATCGCGGCGATGGTCGTCACCGAGGGCACGGTGACGTGCCGGAAGCGGCGCACCGGGCCGGCGCCGTCGACGGCGGCGCTCTCATGCAGCTCGGCGGGAATGGTCTGCAGTGCGCCCAGGAACAACACGGCCACGAAGGGCACGAACCGCCACACGAACACCAGCACCGCGGCGCTCAGCGCCGTGAGCGGCTCGGTCAGCCAGAACCGGTACTCGCCGATGATGCCGAGCTGCAGCAGCAGTCCGTTCAGCGCGCCGTACTCGCCGTTGAAGATCCAGCGCCATGCGTGCCCGGACACCACGGGCGGGATCGCCCACGGGATGATGATCACCGTCCGCAGCAGCGCACGCCCGCGGAAGTCGCGGTTGAGCACCAGTGCGAAGACCAGCCCGATGACGAGCACCGCGACGATGGCGACGGCCATGAAGTAGGCCACACGCGCCAGAGCGGCGTGAAAGGCGTCGTCGGTCAGGACGTGGATGAAGTTGTCCAGGCCGACGAAGCCGCGCCGGGCCGGCTGCTTGATGTTGTAGCGCGTGAGGCCAGCCGCAGGGAGGAGAGCGCAGGGATGTGGCCGAACACGACCACCAGGCTCAGGGTCGGCACCAGCACCACGGAGGCCAGGATCCGCGGCCGGTCGAGGGCACGAGAGAGCCGGGCTCCAAGCACCTGAAGCCCGGCCCACGGCCGCCCGCGCGTCGCGCGATCGACCTCGCCCGAGTCCGCTATTCGTACTCCGCCTTCAGCTCGCGGGCGAATGCCGCCAGCTCGGCCAGCGCGTCCTCGGGCGCCTGCTCACCGCGCGCGGCGCGCAGCATGAGCTGCTCCGCTTCCTTCTCGAACTCGATGTACCACGGCTGGTCATACGGAATCGTGACGATGTACTTGGCTTGTTCGTCCATGGCGTCGAAGCCCTCGATGGCATCGGCATCTCCCAGCGCCTGGAATACCGCCGTGCTCGCCGGGAACAGCCCGTTTGCATCGAACAGGTAGCGCTGCATGTCCTGGCCTGCGAAGAACTCGATCAGCTCCATCGCGGCCTGCGGGAAGTCGGTAAACGCGCTCACGGTGAGGCCCGCCGGCAGCAGCCACGTGGAGTGCTGCTCGGGCAGGAGCAGATAGTCCGCGTTCGGGGCGACCTGGGAGGTATCGGGATTGTTGGCGAGCCCCAGGGACCCCTGCCACGCCTGGTGGAATGCCGCCTGCCCCGCCCAGAAGCTGGGATGAGGATTGGCCGAGCTCAGCCGCTCCGGCGAGATCAGGCCCTTCTCGAACCACTCGGTCACCCGCACGAAGGCGGCAAAGCCAGGATCGGACGGGTCGTCGAACACGGGATTGTCGTCCGCGTCGAACAGCTCGGACCCCGAGGACAGGGCGATCAGGTACCAGGTCCAGGGACGGATACCGGCGGCGTAGGGATACTCGTACAGCCCCTGCTCCTTCATGGCCAGCATCGCCGCTTCGAAGTCGTCCCAGGTGGCGATGTCCGCGGCGTTCAGGCCGATCGCATCGAGCGAGGTGGTGTCGTAGTCGATCATCACCATCTGCTGGTAGAGCGGCACGGCCCACAGGACGCCGTCCAGCACGAACTGGTCGACGCCGGCAAGGCCGCCGAGCATGGCGGCGGGAGCCAGGTCGTCCAGGGCTCGGATCGCTCTCTGCGCTCTGAAACGCGGCGAAGGTATCGGCGCTCACGAAGATCACGTCGGCGGGACTGGTCCTGCCCGCCGTGCGGTCAGCACGCGGTCGCGGGAGGTATTGATGTCTACCGTGGCGACCTCCAGGTCGATGCCGGACCGCTCCTCGAAGAGGGCCACGACTTCATCGGAGGGCGCGCCCCAGGGGGGTGTCAGGTAGACCAGCTTGTCGGGCCGTTGCTCCCCGGCTTGGCCGGTCGCGAGACCGCCGGCCAGCAGCAGCAGCGGAATCATGGACAGGATGCGCTTCACGAGTACACCTCTTGAGGCTCGCCTGGACGGCGAGGGGATAGGATGCTTGATGCTGGCACCGCTCGGGCGAGGTGTCAAAGAGTCAGGCGACTCGGGAGGGTTTGCCGCCGCCGGGAAGCCACGCCATGCTGGCCGCAGGACAGGATGAGGAGGAGGCCGGGATGAACGACCGGATCACGCTCGGGACGAAGGCTCAGGCGGCGGCCCGGCGGGCCGGGACGCCGTGGATGGAGGGTGAGGAGTTGCGGCTCGCGCCGGGGCCTCACCTGTTCCTGGACTGGCGCTACGTGCTGCCGGGCGAGGTGGGGGCGATCGGGCCGTACTGGGCCACGCCTTCCGGCACGCCCATGAAGCTACGCCTCTGGAACGACCCGGACCGTGCCGACACGCCGTTCACGGCTCGCTTCGTGCCGCGCGACACCCCGCACGGCATCCGCATCGAGCGCGAGCCGGCCGGCAAGAGCGACCCGCTGCCGCCCGGGACGGCTCCGGGTGCGCGGATCATCCATGCGGACGGGCTGTACCGCACCTGGTACTCCAGGGGCGAGAACGAGGCGTCGCGGCCGATCCACTACGCCGAATCCACGGACGGACACGAATGGCACGGCGACACCCCGTGCGCCTTCGACTTCAGCGCCGCGCCGGGCGTCGCCGGCCTGGAACGCTCCGAGATCTTCCTGGATCCGTCGGCACCCGACGCGGAGCGGTTCAAGATGTTCTTCCGCGGCGGCATTCCGGGCACCGAGCAGGAGCGGCGGAAGTTGGCCGAGCGCTTCATGCGCGAGCGGCCCGACGCCTTCTACCCGCTGGGAAACGATCTGAGCCATCTGTCCGGCATGTGGGGTGCCGTCTCCCCGGACGGCATCGCCTGGACGGCGCTGCCGGGACCGCTGGTGGTCCACTACAGCGACACCACCAACGTCGTCTACTACGACCAGCGCCTGCAGCGGTACGTCTGGTACGCCCGTTGCAACTGGTTCTACGGCCGGCGCTGCATCGGCCGCGCGGAGACCGACGACTTCCGCCGCTGGCCGGGGCCGGAGATGCTGGTCTGGCCGACCAGCGAGCGGCGCCCCTCCGACGACTGGTATACCAACTCCAAGACCATCTATCCGGGCACGGTGGACCAGCACCTGATGTTCCCGGCGCTCTACCACCATCACGACGACACCTCGGAGCTGCTGCTGTACGCCAGCCCCGACGGCATCGTCTGGAACGAGGTGCCCGGCGGCGCCGTGCTCGACGCCGGCCCGGAGCCGTGGGACGCCGGCTGCGTGTTCGGCGGCACCGACCTGATCCCGCTGGGCGGCGATCGGGTCGCCCTCCCCTACGGCGGCTATCCGCAGCCGCACAAGTATCCGCGCAACCGCCACTCGTTCTGGCGCACCAACGCGCTGGCGATCTGGCCGCGCGAGCGGCTGGGCGGCATCCAGGCGGATGACGAGGGCGCCTTCGCCACGCTGCCGCTCATCACCGAGGGCTCGACGCTGCGGTACAAAGAACGAGGAAGGGGAAGAAGTGGAAAACTAGGCGAGGCGGAGAACGAGAGAAGAAACAGAAGGAAAGTAAAGAAATAGGAAAAGGAAAGACGGAAGAAGAAGGTATAAGAGTTCTTAGTAGCTCTAGTCCTGTCTTGCCCTTTTGCTTTGTTGGTTCTTCCTTTCTCCACAGTGAATTCCCCTCCCAAACAACATATGCAACCGATCCCCCCGACTTGGCGACTCACCTAGCACGATCCGCTTTTGGAAACGGCCCGTCGCCGAGATCGCGCGCGATCCGGCAGCGCCGCTGACGATCCGCTTCCGGTTGCGCTGCGCCACCTGTGCGCCTCTGTGAGCTTTGCGCTGACGCGGACCTCCACCGCGGTCAAACGCGGGCACCGCGTCAAGCGCTCGGTCATGCATCGCGAAAACGCCGGCCGGCCCCTCCCAGGGGGATGGAGGCGACTCACGTTTCTGGTGAAGCGGAGAACAGCAGGTGGCGTTCGGATCTTGTCGGTACGCCGGGAAGGGACGGATCTGAGTTGTGCACTTGCAGAGACCACGGAGGACTGCGGCGCGCGCGACGCGGTCGGGCCCGAACGCTTCAGTGCACGACCGAGACAGGGTACGATGCTGACACTATCTGACTCGGTCGTCCCTCGGCCAGATGAATTCTAATCTAGTCCAACAACCTGCTTGTCCCACACCGGGCATCTTCCTCACTCTCTCCGTGGCCCCCCGTCCCCGCTGCCCTCCACACTGTCCTGTATCGTCTGCCTCCATGTGCGGTTGCCAGCAACATCCCCTCCCGCCCTTGCCTTCCCGCCTTTCTCCCTGGCTTCGAGCTTCGCCACCTCTTTCGCCATTCGCATCATTTAGCATGCCTTGCCCAGCTATGCACATCAGACAGTAGTTGACTTAGGTTAAATAAGCTTTCGGTCTTGAAGATCACGTAGTCCAGCTCGGCGAGTGAGCCGGCCGGCACCTGCGGCCGCGCCTGCCGGAGCAGGTCGACCACGGCCCGGTACTGCCCGGCGCGCCGCCGCCACAGCGCATCGGGCCGCAGCGGCCGATCGTGCCCGTGCTGGTCGCCCACCGCCGTTCGGCGCCAGAACCAGAAGTCGCTGTCGTCCCACGACGCCTCGATGGCCCGCTCCAGCTCGGCGCGGTCGATGTCCGGCCGGCCGTCGCGGAGCTCGACGCCGGTGCGCAGCTTGCAGGGCGAGAAGTCATGGTAGGAGATGAAGATCTCGCTCCGCCCCCACCACACCAGGTCGCGCTCGGCAGCCTCCAGGAGACGGTACGCATCGACCACGAGCGGCGCCGCGTCCGTTCCGTAGAGCCGCGGCAGGTAGCCGGTGTAGAACGACTGCGCGTCGACCCCGGCGTCCCAGCAGCCGTCGGCCAGGAAGCGGGTGCTGCACTCGCCGCCGCGCTCCTTGTCGAGCTGGCCGATGATGCCCGCCGCGCCGGCCGCTTCGGCCCCGGTGACGATCTCGTCCCGGTCGTACATGGTGGCGTTCATCTGCATGTGCAGCTCGCAGCCGTCGTCGACGATGCGCGGGATGACGATCAGGTCGCGGCCGGCGATGCCGCGGTAGTAGTCCATTTGCGAGCCGCCGTTGCCGCAGTCCTCCATGTTGGCGATCCACACGTCCTTGGGCAGCAGCCGGTCGAGCGCCCGCATCAGGTAGCCGCGGAACAGCAGCGTGACGCCCAGCCGCGCGTCCGGGTGGCGCCGTTTCACCCGGCCGATCAGCTCGGCGGCCAGGTGCATCTGCATGGCGTCGAACTCCAGGTCCTTGTCGGTATTGGGGGTGAAGTTGCCGCCCCCGTGGATCTCCCCGAGCGACGGCATGTGCTCCCGGATCGTCGTGGCCTCTTGCCGCAGCGCTCGGGTCGCCTCATCGTCGTCGAAGTCCGGGCTGTGCTCGGGCGCCCAGACCCCGTAGGAGTCGGCCTCCGGATAGGTCTCGATCACCGCGCACAGCGCGGCCTCCCAGATGTCCAGCGCCGCCGGATCGCCGGTCGGCACCGCCACCCCGCAGTAGCGCTGGTAGCTGTGGCTCTCGCTCGGCGCCACGCCGTGGTCGACCTTGGCGCTCTGCGGGGCCAGGTTGGGCGAGACGAACGGCAACTCGCCGAAGACCAGCCAGACCTGCACGCACCGCCGGTGGGCGTAGCGGATGATCTCGCGCAGGAACGGGACCGCGACGGCAAACGCCTCGTCCTCGGAGCCGACCTCCTGGAACTCCTCCCCGCACAGCCGCTCGTGCGGGAAGCACTCCCGGCCGACGCGGACCTCGGAACGGGTGCCGGTGGTGGTGTGCACGCTGCGGCCCCAGGAGCGGCTGTCCCTGCCGACCGCCAGGTAGCCGGACTCCGGCGTGGTGGTCAGCTCGCCGCGCACGCCGTCGTGGAAGACCTCGACCCACGGCGCCCCCATCCCCCAGTAGAACTCCAGGACGTTCATCTTCATCTTGGCGAGCTGGTCGATCAGGCGGCGGTAGTCCTGCATGCCCATGTTCCAGGTGTAGGCGTGCCAGACGTGCACGCCGCGGAACTTGCGCGCCGGCGCCGCCGCCACGTCCAGCTCCGGCAGCTCCAGAGTCGCCTTCCGCTCGGGGACGATGTCGCCGGTGAGCTGGAACACCACGCCCAGCCGTTCCAGGAGCTCGTACGCCGCGTACATGGTCCCGGTGTCGTCCCGTCCTGCCACTACCACGCAGCCGCGCCCGTCCAGATCGATCGACTTCAGCAGATACGCCCCGTCGGCCGTCAGCCCGCCGAGATCGAGCGCACCCCGCGCCGCCAAGCCGCCCACCGTGTCGTTTGCCTGCGGGCCACCAACCATGATTACGCCGCCAGCCGGAGCGGCGCCGGGTTCCGTGACGATCGGCAGCAGGCCGCCGGTCAGGAGCTCTATGTAGCGCTGGATCTCTGCCGCCACGAACCGGTGGAAGCCGTCGGCCGCGGCGTCCAGGTGAATCGCACCGCGCGGGCTTCCGTTCTCGACCAGGATCGCGTTCCTCATCGTACCCTCCTAGCAGCCCGTGGCGGAATGGGCTGATGGGGCGAAGGGCATTCGACGAATTCGCGGCCGGCCTCGATGGAGGCGATCACATTCTGGTTGAAGCGGAACAGCAGGTGGCGCTCGGTCTTGTCGTCGCCGTAGGCGATCATCTGTCCGGCCACGCCGCGTGCGCCGCGGTCGGCACGCTCCAGCGCGGCGCGGCAGCGATCAAGCCGGTCGCCGGCCGCGGCCTCGTCGCCGTCCAGCCGCGCCAGCCAAGTCCGGTCGAGCTCGATCCGCGCCTCCTCGCAGGCCTGCAGCACGTCGAAGTAGGCGGCGAAGCTCTCGGTCTTGAAGATCACGTAGTCCAGCTCGGCGCGTGAGCCGGGCGGCACTTTCGACCGCGCCTGCCGCAGCAGGTCCACTACCGCGCGGTACTGCTCTGCGCGCCGCTGCCAGAGCACGTCCGGACGCAGCGCCCGATCGCCCTCGTGCTGGTCGCCGACCGCCTCGCGGCGCCAAAACCAGAAGCTGCCGTCGTCCCATGGCGCCTCGATGGCGCGCTGCAGTTCGGCGCGGTCGATGTCCGGCCGGCCGTCGCGGAGCTCGACATCGGTGCGCAGCTTGCAGGGCGAGAAGTCGTGGAACGAGACGAAGACCTCGCTCCGTCCCCACCACACCAGGTCGCGCTCGCGCTGCTCCAGGAGCAGGTACGCCTCGGTCAGCAGCGGCGCCGCCTCCCGGCCATAGAGCCGCGGCAGGTAGCGCGCGTAGAACGACTCCGCGTCGATCCCGGCGTGCCAGCAGCCGTCGGCCAGGAACCGGGTGTTGCACTCCACGCCGCGCTCCTTGTCGAGCTGGCCGATGATGCCCGCCAGGCCGGCCCGCTCGGCGCCGGTGACGATCTGGTCGCGGTCGTACATGGAGGCGTTCATCTGCATGTGCAGCTCGCAGCCGTCGTCGACGATGCGCGGGATGACGATCAGGTCGCGGTCCGCGATGCCGTCGTAGTACTGCATCTGCGAGCCTGCATTGCCGCAGTTCTCCATGTTGGCGATCCACGCCTCCTTGGGCAGCAGCGTGTCGAGCGCCCGCATCAGGTAGCCGCGGAACAGCAGCGACACGCCCAGCCGTGCGTCGGGGTGGCGCCGCTTCACCCGCCCGATCAGCTCGGCGGCCAGGTGCATCTGCAGGGCGTCGAACTCCAGGTCCTTGTCGGCCTTGGGGATGAGGTTGCCGCCCGCGTGGATCTCCTCCAGCGACGGCATGTGCTCGCGGATGGCCATGGCGCGCTGGCGCAGCGCGCGGGTGGACTCGTCGTCGTCGAAATCGGGGCTGTGCTCGGGCGCCCAGACACCGTAGGCGTCGGCCTCCGGGTAGGTCTCGATCATCGCGCACAACGCCTGTTCCCAGATGTCCAGCGCCGCCGGGTCGCCGGTCGGCACCGCCACCCCGCAGTAGCGCTGGTAGCTGTAGCTTTCGCTGGCCGCCACGCCGTGATCGACCTTGGCGCTCTGCGGGGCCAGGTTGGGCGCGACGAACGGCAGCTCGCCTGAGACCAGCCAGAGCTGCACGCGGCGCCGGTGCGCGTAGCGGATGATCTCGCGCAGGAACGGGACGGCGACGGCGTACGCCTCGTCCTCCGAGTTGACGTCCCGGAACTCCGGCGCGCACAGCCGCTCGTGCGGAAAAGCACTCCCTGCCCACGCGCACGTCGGAGCGGTTGCCGGTCGTGGTGTGCACGCTGCGGCCCCAGGATCGCGTGTCCTTGCCGATCGCCAGGTAACCGGATTCCGGCGTCGTGGTCAGCTCGCCGCGTACCCCTTCATGGAATACCTCCACCCACGGCGCTCCCATCCCCCAGAAGAACTGCAGGACGTTCATCTTCATCTTGGCGAGCTGATCGATCAGTCGGCGGTAATCCGCCAAACCCATGTACCAGGAGTACGCGTGCCAGACGTGCACGCCGCGGAACTTCCGAGCCGGCTCGACCACATCCAGCTCCGGCAGGACCAGGTCCGGTTTCCTCTCGGGAATGATGTCGCCGGTAAGCTGGAACACGACGCCCAGCCGCTCCAGGAGCTCGTACGCCGCGTACATCGTGCCGGCGTCGTCCGCGCCCGCCACGACCATGCCGCCGCGGCCGTCGATGTCGACCGACTTCAGGACGTACGCCCCATCGGCCGTCAGTCCACCGAGGTCGACCGCACCCCGCTCCGCCAAACCGCCCACCGCGTCGTTCGCCTGCGGCCCGCCGACCAGGATCAAGCCGCCCGACGGCGCGCTGTCGGGTTCCGTGACGACCGGCAGCCGGCCGCCGGTCAAAAGCTCGATGTAGCGCTGGATCTCACTCGCGACGAACCGATGGAAGTCGTCGGCCGCGGCGTCCAGGTGAATCGCACCGCGCGGGATTCCGTTCTCGACCAGGACCGCGTTCCTCATCGTCTCCTCCTAGAACAGGCTGTAGCCGAGCCATCGCCGGGCGATGGCGTTGGCGGACAGCAGCAGCGTGGTGTTGACCACGGAAATTGAACAGGCCCACCGCCGCCGCAGAACTGAGATTGGGAAGGCCCACGGACGCGGCGATCCCCTTGCGGTAGACGTAGGTGGCGATCACGTCGCCGGTCTCGTAGGTGAGCGGGTTGTACAGCAGGTACACCAGCTCGAAGCCGACGTTCATCATGTTGCCGATCTCGATCAGCAGCAGCACCACCATCGTGTTCTTGATCCCCGGGACGGTGACGTGGCGGATCCGCTGCATCTTGGAGGCGCCGTCGACCGTGGCGGCCTCGAACAGCTCCGGGCTGATGCCGGCGATCGCAGCCAGATAAATCACCGCGGTAAAGCCGAAGCTCTTCCAGATCACCGTGGTCACGTAGATCCCGCGGAAGTACTCGGGCTCGACCAGAAAGAAAACCTTGGCGAGGCCGAACACCTCCTCCAGGATCAGATTGATGACCCCCGTCTGCGGATTCACCATCATGTTGACGATCCCGATGGCGATGACGTTGGAGATGAAGAACGGCAGATAACTGACGGTCTGGATGGAGCGCTTGTGCAGCTTGCTGCGCACCTCGTTGAGAGCGATGGCGAAGATGATCGGGATCGGGAAGCCGAACAGCAGACTGTAGAAGCTGAGCAGAAACGTGTTTCTGACGAGCCGGAAGGAATAGATGGACGACCAGAATTGCCTGAACTGCTCCAGACCGACCCAGGGACTGCGGAAAAACCCCAGCGACACACGGTATTTCTGGAAGGCGATGATCACGCCCATCATCGGCAGGTAGTGGAAGGTGACGAAGTAGACGATGGCCGGCAGCAGCAACAGGAACAGGTATTTATTCCTGCGTACCTCGGCGAAGAATCCGCCGAACAGCCGCTCGGCAAGCCGGCCCACGGGCCGCGCTTCGACGAGTCGCGTCATCGACCCGGCGCCGCGGTCGGTGGTACGGAAAAGGGGTCGGAGCGTTGCCGCACGTCCCGACCCCTTCCGGTGTAGTTCCTCGTCAGCTTCCTACGAACGCCTGGTAGTTCTCGTACCAGCCCTGCACGATCTCCGTGCCGCGGTCCGCGCCGATGCGCTTGAGCTGCGCCACATAGCCGTCCCAGTCCGAATCGACCGAGAGATCGCCGGTGATGAACTTGTGCTGGACTCCTGCACGTAGGTCTGCAGGTCCGCAAACAGGTTGGTCATCTCCTCGAACTCCGGCCCGCTGGTCTGCAGGCTGGGATAGCCGATCATGATCGGGATGGTGCGCTCGAAGTGGTCCTTCATGAGGACGGCGCGCGGTCCCTGCAGGAACCGCGACAGGAAGATCGGGCTCACGAACATGCTGGGATAACCGATCTCGTAGCGCTTGGTGCCGATCAGGCGGTCGTCCCAGCCGTGCACGGTCGGGTTGCCGTCATCGTCACGTCCGTAGCTCATCCCCTCGATCCCGTACACGTAGAACTCCGCCCCTTCGTCCGTATAGAAGTAGTCGAGCAGCTCCATCGCCTTGCGCTGGTGGTCCGAATCGGCGGAGATCGCCATGGCGAAATCGCTCCAGGGGTTGGCGACGCGGGTCATAGCGCGCTCTCCCGTGGCCGGATTGATCGGGAACTCCGCCGTGTCGTAGTCGACTGACACCCCGGCATTCTCGGCAGTGATGTTGGCGGCGTTGGCGCGCCACGTGTTGGTGAGCTGCATGAACTCCTTGCCGGCCGCAACCTTGCCGTTCCACCAGTCGTTGTAGTTGTTGGTGATGTACTCCTGGTCGAGCAGTCCCTCCGCGTGCAGCCGGTTCATGAACGCCATGAGCTGCCGGTAGTTGTCGGTCCCCGGCAGGAACGCCACCTGGCCGGCGTCCATCTCGCTGATCAGGAAGCCCCAGTAGTTCTGATAGAGCCCGAAGCCCATGTCATACGAGGGGCCGAACATCATCTGGTAGCCGCCTTCGAACCACGCCGCGTTGGTGCTCAGCGGTAGCAGGTCCGGCCGGCCCTCCTTGACCGCCTTCAGCACCTCGTACCAGCCCTCGCTGTCGTCCGGCTCGGTCAGGCCCAGCTCCTTCATGACGTCGACGCGGTAGGCGATGCCGTTCTCCGGCGATCCGGCCAACTCGTTGAAGCGCGGGATCATGTACAGATGTCCATCCGGTGCACGGTGATGGTAATTCTTGGTGGCATCCGAGTAGTAGTCGCGCAGCATGTCCGACTGCACCACTTCCAGTGCCAGATCGTCGAGCGCCTGGAACAGGCCGTCGGGTCCGTAGGTGTTGGCGATGGCGGATTCGACGCTGACGATGTCGGGGATGTCACCGGACGCCAGCACCAGATTGCGCTTTTCCTCGTAGGTGTCGGCGGGGAACACGATGAACTCGATCTCGGTGTTGGTCCTCTCCTGCCACTCCACGTACCAGGGAAGCTCGAAGTCCAGGGTGTCGTCCGGGTGGGCGCGATACCCGACCGTCAGCTTCGTGGGACCGGTGTCCATGCTCTCCTGCGTGGGTGCCGCGAATCCGAATCCGGCGACGAGCGCCAGGATCGCGATGCACGCAATCGTTCGTTTCATGTAGTTCTCCTTAACTCTTTGGGTCTCCTCTCAGCAAGCTGAGAGAACGTCGCACGGTACTCCCGGCTCGGTGCGGTGGTCAACCGCGAGGACGTCCGGCCGTCAGCCTTTGACGCCGCCCAGGGTGATTCCCTTTACGAAGTAGCGCTGCAGGAAGGGGTAGAGGATCAGGATCGGCACGGTGGAGATCACCAGGATCGCCGCCTTGAGCGCCTCCGGGCTCGGCAGCGGCCGCATGAGCGCATCCATGCTGGCCCCCTCCTGCACCAGGCGCAGCTCCGCCAGCTCGGCGCCGAGGACCAGCTCGCGCAGGTACACCTGCAGCGGGAACTTCTTCGCATCGATCAGGAACAGCAGTGGATAGAAGTACGAGTTCCATATCTCCACCGCGTAGTACAGGGTGAGGGTGGCGATGATCGGCTTGGACAGCGGCACGATCACGCGCGCGAAGATGCTCAGCTCGTTGGCGCCGTCGATCAGCGCGGCCTCGCAGAGCTCCCACGGGAGTTGCTGGACGAAGCTCTTGGCCAGGATCAGGTGGAACGCAAAGATCGCCGTGGGCAGCACTATCGCCCAGATCGTGTCGATGAGCCCGAGATTGCGGACCACCAGGTAGAGCGGGATCAAGCCGCCCTGAAACAGCATCGTGAACACGATCATGCGCATGAAGAAGCCGCGGTAGCGGAACCTGCGATGCGCCAGCGGATAGGCGGCCATCATGGTCAGCGACACGCTCAGCGTGACCTTCACGCTTGAGTAGAGGACGGAGTTCCTGAAACCGATCCATATGCGCGGGTCCGAGAGTGCGCGCTCGTAGGTTTCGAGGGTCGGACGCACCGGCCACAGCACGACCTCGCGCAGCATGACGGCGGCCGGGTCGCTCAAGGAAACCGCCAGGATGTACAGGAACGGGAACAGCGTCACGAACGCGACCCCGGTCAGGATCAGCGCATTGGCGGCAAATCCCGGACTGACCGTCAATCGGCGTGGTCCGATCGCGATCCGGATCACGACGGCCGGAACCCGAAGCAGTAGAAGCGGGCGCCGTCGCCCATGAGGTAGAAAGCGAATGCGGACGGCCGCCGCCGCGGCGGCCTCGCCGCCCCTCTGTTTCCCCAGCGCACGATCGCGGCGTCGGCGTCCGTGTCGACCGGCGTACAGTCCGCGGCTGAGAATCCCGGCAGGACGGTGCCGTCCGGTTCGCGGATCAGCTCCGCCACCAGGTAGTCGCGGCCGGGCCGCAGGTGGCCGGCCTTCACGGTCAGGTCGAGCCCGCTCAGATCGGACCCGGCGATCGGGTTGGTGGTGACGGAGCCGGCCGACCGGTCCGCGCGCACGCGCAGGTAGGTCCAGCCGTCGACCGGCACGCGCGCCAGCCCCGTCTGTCCATGGGTGGCGTCCTCGATGACGTAATGGGTGGCCGGGTGACCGATCAGGTTCGGCTGCCGGGTGCCGGCGTAGTAGATGAGGATCTGATCGCCGGCCGTGACCAGCGTGTTGGCGTTGGAGACGAACTGCGCGTCCCACTCGCCCATCTCGCCGCGCGCGATGAGCTTCTGGCCGTCGGCCACGCGCACGAAGTGGTAGCCGTCGCGGCTGACGGTCAGCTCGTCGTCGCAGGAACGGCTCTCCGGCCAGACGTCGGGGACGCCCAGGTAGTACTCCCGGTACGGCCAGACGCTGAGCAAGTGGTCTCCGACGTAGCTGCCGCCGCGGGGGTCGAGCACCGGCCGGTCCCACTCGACGGTCCAGTGCTCGCCGTCCGGGCTGTGCGCGACCACGCCGACGCGTACCTCGCCGCCCGGCCCGGTACGGCCGGCCGCCTGGCCGTCACCTTTCCAGCGGCGGGCGGCGTCGGCTCCAGCTCGTCGCAGGAAGAACGCGTGGCCTCCATCAGCTCGACCGTCCCGCGCTCGGCGCGCATGACGGGGTGCGGCGGTGACCTCCGGGTGCGGATCCGGTGGGTCCAGTGGATGCCGTCGGGCGAATGGAGCATCAGGCAGAACAGCTTGACGTCATGACCACGTACTGCGAGTTGAGCATCATCTTGTAGCGCTTGGCGGGGTCCGGCTCGCGTTCGTCCTTGTACACCGACGGATTGGGCGTCGGCCGTCCGCTGCGGATCGGCAGCTCCCGCGGCGGGATCTCGCCGAGCGCGCAGATGTTGTTGTCGCGGCTGCCGTGATACTCGAACAGGCCCAGGTTGGGACGCTCCCAGGTGATGCCGTCGTCGCTGACCGCGTAGCAGCACACGGCGCAGTCGGTGGTGCCGGAGCGGGCCGTGTACCACATCCGGTAGCGGCCTTCGTCGTACAGCACGGTCCCGTAGCAGATCGCCTGCGAGTCCCAGGATCCGGGCTCCCCCTGCAGCACCGGATTGCGCGGATCCTTCTTGGCGGTGTTGACGACCAGGTCCACGTGGCGGCGCTCGGCGAGCTCCCAGAGGTCCAGGAACAGCACGTTGCCCGCCCGTCGCGGGTCGATCGCCGGCACCTCCACCCGGCCGAAGCGGATCTCGCCGTCCGCCGTCAGGTAGAGCAGCCCGAAGACATCGCTGCCGGCCGGCATCCGTTTCTCCACGCTCAGCGCCGGCGCCAGCTCCCACGCCCAGCGAATCCCCTGCGGTGTGGCCATGCCGCCGCCCATCCACCGGCTCATGAAGACGTGATGACGGTCCCGGTTCACCCATGCCAGCCGAGGCTGGCCGTAGCCGTCCACGAACGCGATCGGCAAGCCCACCTCCTGCGACTCGTCCCGGTTCAGATTGACGTGCATCTTCCAGCGGCCCGTGCCGGGGTTCCGGTACGACGAGTAGAACACCCGATCGACCATGCCCGGCCAGTTGCCGCGGGCCATGTAGCCGATCAGGATCGTGCCTCGCGAGGCGGGCGATCGTCGGGTGGTCGCTCGCGTAGGCGACCAGCTCGGCGCCGGGGGTGCGCCCGTCGGCGCGGGTCCAGGTCTCCCCGTCCCGGCTCTGCGAGTAGTAGATGCCGTAGCGCTCGGCAACCTCGGCCGGATCCTGCAGGAATTCCTCCTCGAACTCGCCGAAGTCGACCGAGCAGATCTTGTCCGCGTAGTCCCGCGGGTCCGGGCCGTAGGCGAGGTGGATGGTGCCGCTCTCGTCCACGTCCAGCACCGGATCGCCGTAGTCCCAGCGCTCGGTCATGGGGGTGCGGCGCCAGCCGCCCGCGGCGGGGGCGAGCCAGCACGACGCGGCGCGCGTCCATCTCCCCCTGGCTGTAGGCGATGCAGACCGAACCGTCGGCCGTCACCACGATGTCGCCAAGACCTGCCGGGCCGTGCCCCTCCCGGTCCACGCGGCTGGGACCCGCGCCGGCGCCGTCGGGGCCGCGCCAGCTCGCCGGGTCGGCCGGGTCGCCGCCGCGCAGCGGGCAGCGCGCATACCACAGCTCCCCCTTGCCGTCGCGCGCCGTGCGGCGCCACACCGCGTGCAGGACGTCGCGGGAATCGACGGCGATGCTGCCCTGATCGGCCGGGCCGGTGGGGTCGCCGAGCAGACCCGCGGTCAGGTTTCCGGCCAGCTCGACCGGCGCCTGGAAGTGCTCGTCTTCGAGGGGCTCGGCTCCCGTGCTGACCCGGATCAGGACCGAGGCCCTGCCGGTCACGCGCTGCTTGACGTCGGCGACCGCAAGCCAGCGGCCGTCGCCGGTGCGCGCAAGCTGCCGGCCATTGGCCAGGATGAACCCCGGCCCTCCGGTCTCGCCGAGCGATAGATCTCTCAAACGCCTGCCTCCCGCCGATCCTCCACTATAATCGACATGCGTTCGGGCCGGCGGGCGACGTTGCCGGGGCGCCGCACAGGAGGATCGCGATGGCACTGCTGGACAAGGCGTTGCTCGAAAGAACATGGGGCCGGTTGGAGTCGCGCGGCCGGAGCATCATACGGGAATGGCCGGACGCGAAGCCGGGCGAATACCTGATCTTCAATCAGAACAACGGCGCCGTGTTCGCGGGCGACTCCAGCTTCGACGGCTACGGCGCCGTGGGCCTGTTGTGGCTGCTGTATGCCGCGACCGATGACCCGGAGTACCGGGATCACGCGCAACGCGGTGCGCATATCTTCTCGCCTCTGGCCGACGTCCTTGCCAGCCACTGCGGCATAGCCGCCTACCGGAGCGCCGTATGGGGGTTACCAGCTCACCGGCGAAGAGGAGCTCAAGCGGCAGGGGTTGCGCGCCGCCGCCACCATGAGCCGGTTCTTCGACCCGCAGAACGAGGTCTTCGGCCGCCACCCCGGCGCACGTGCGGAGGCCGTCTTCCCCGCCGGCGGCGTCAAGCATCGGTTTCACAGCGTGCACGCGCCCGCCAACACGCCCGCGCGCGCCACCCACATCGACTGGTCGGGGTTCTGGTTCGAGGTGCTGTGGTGGGGCGGGCGATTCGAGCCGCGCTTCAGCGACCAGGCGCGCCGCCACTGCGACGCCTACCTGCGGCTGGGATTCCAGCGGCCGGACGGCTCCTCCCATCACGGCCTGAGCTTCGACGAGCACACCGGCGAGCCGCTGGAGTTCCACTCCAATCAGGCGTACTCGGCCGACACCGCCTGGTCACGCGGGCAGGCGTGGATGCTGATGGGGTACGCCCAGGCGTTCGAGGCCACCGGAGAGCAGCGCTTTCTGGAGACCTACCTGCGCTGCGCCGACTACTGGATCGCCCACCTCCCGGACGACCTGATCCCGTTCTACGACATGAGCGACCCGGCCGTGCCGCACGTCCCGCGCGACGTATGCTCGGCGGTTATGGCGCTCAATTCGATGCTGCGCGTGTGCCGGGTCGATCCATCGCTGGAATCCCGCTTTCGCGACGTGGCCGACGCCACGCTGCGCGAGCTGCTGGATTTCTACATCACGCCGGGCGGCATCGTGCTGCACGGAAGCTGGGGCGCCGACCACCAAACCGATGTTTCAGGGGGTGCTGATGTTCAGCAATACCTACTTGGCGGATGCGGTGTTCATGGGCCTGTGGCCCGATCGCTTCGACGAAATCCGAGGATTCTAGTCATGGGGAACCGATTGTTCGAGAACGGCGTTCCGCGCGCGGCGGTGGTCGTGGGCGCGGATGCCGACGAGTTTCACCGCTTCGTGGCGGAGGAGTTGCAGGCGCACCTGGAACGGCTGAGCGGGGGGCGGCTGCCGATCGTCACCGACGCCGAGTTGCCGCTCGACCTGGAGCACGGCCCGGCCACCCTGATTCTGGTTGGCGGCCCCGATGCCAACGCCGCGGTGCGGCGGCTGGCCGATCGGGGCGCGGTCGATTTCACGGTGCTGCAAGCCGAGGGCGGCTACCTGCTGAAGACCGTCGCACTCGACGGTCCCGCCGCGATCGTCGCCGGCGGCAACGATCCCGCCGGGACCATGTACGCCGCGTACGAGCTGCTGGAGCGGCTGGGCATCGTGTTCCAGCTCTCGAACGACGTCGTGCCGGAGCGCAAGCCCACCCTCGACCTGCCGGAGCTGGACGTGGCGGTCAATCCGGCGCGGAAGTTCCGTGGCGTGCACGTCTGGCACGGCTACTCCTGGTACATGGGCCTCGACGAATACCGGCACCTGATCGACCAGCTCGCCAAGCTGAAGATGAACGTCCTGCAGTTCGCGTGGGGCATGGGGGCGGCCTGGATCCGGCTCTCCTACCAGGGGGTGCAGGGCGAGCTCACCACCACACCCGAGTCCGGGCACCTGGCGATCGGCAAGGCGTCGCGCTCCTGGGGCCGCAGCGTGCACACCACCACGGGCACGCGCGCGGATCTGCGCGTCGGCGCCGACTGCTACGACCACGAACGGCTGTGCGCGCCGGAGTTCCGCGAGGTCGAATCGGAGGAGGACGCCTACCGCGTCGCCATCCCGTTCCTGCGGGAGATCATCCGCTACGCCCACCAGCGCCAGGTGCAGGTGCGGCTGGTGATGGGCCAGCTTCCCTTCGTCCCG